AATGGCCCCATATGATATCCCATGTCCCCCTCAGTGGGATCCCAGCCTTTGGAATGACCCCATATGATATCCCATGTCCCCCTCAGTGGGATCTCAGCCCTTGGAGTGGCCCCATCCAATATCCCGTGTCCCCCCATCTCATCTCATGGTGAGATCCTGGCCCTTGGAATGGCCCCATCCCATGTCCCATATCCCTCCAGCTGGATTTGTAGTGGGATCCCAGCCCTTGGGGTGGCCCCATGTGCTGTCCTGGTGGCATCCCAACCCTCGAGGTGGCCCCATCCCGTGTCCTCCCAGCTGGGCTCATGGTGGGATTCCACCCCTGAGAGTGGCCCCAGCCAATGTCCCATGTCCCTCCAGCTGGTCTTGTGGTGGGATCCCAGCCCTTGGAGTGGCCCCATATGACATCCCACATCCCTCCCAGTGGGATCCCAGCCCTTGGAGTGGTCCCATATGATATCCCACATCCCTCCCAGTGGGATCCCAGCCCTTGGAGTGGTCCCATATGACATCCCACGTCCCTCCCAGTGGGATCCCAGCCCCTGGACTTGCCACATCCCGTGTCCATGTCCCCCCAGCTGCACTCCCTGGCCTACGTGAAGCTGCACAGCCTCCTGCAGACGTCCTCAGCTCCCAGGAAGGACGAGGCCTGTTACCTCCTGGGGAAGCTGGAGACCCCCCTCCGGCGCTCGCTGGAGGCCAAGTCGGAGACGTTCTCCTGGCTGGTGCCCATCATCCGGACCCTCATGGACCAGTGCTACGAGACCCTGCAGCTGCAGCTCTTCCTGCCCTCCCTGCCCCCCACCAACGGCAGCCCCACCTTCTACGAGGACTTCCAGCTCTTCTGCACCACCCCGGAGTGGAGGGGCTTCATCGAGAAGCACGTGGGTGTCATCGCTGGGGGAACACCTGGGTGATGGGTGGTGGGTGTGGAAGCCCTTGGAAACACCTCTTCCCTCCTCCTGGTTTCCCCAGGTGCAGCCCACCATGGCCCAGTTTGAGATGGACACCTTTGCCAGGAGCCACGACCACATGTCCAACTTCTGGAACGCCTGTTACGATGCCATGATGAGCAGCGCCCAGCGGCGGGAGCAGGAGAAGGCGGCCAGCCGCAAGATGTTCCAGGTCCTGCCTGCTCCTCACCCCTGGCATGTCACCCTGGGGGTGTGCTCCTCATTTTGGGGATGTGCTCCTCACCCCTGGGATGTCACCCTGAGGGTGGGCTCCTCACCCCTGGGATGTCACCCTGCGAGTGCGCTCCTCATTTTGGGGATGTGCTCCTCACCCCAAGGATATCATCCAGGGAACGTGCTCCTCACCCTGGGGACATGATCCTCATCCTGGGGACATGCTCCTCACCCCTGGAATGTCACCCTGGGGGTGTGCTCCTCACCCCTGGAATGTCACCCT